ACGGTCATGAAAATAGACAATATCATTATTTGCGCTCTCAGACAGCCACAATTATAGCCCCCCCCCGGACATTAATATCTTTGAAGGTGAGGGTTTTTTTTTTTTTTTGTTTGTTTGTTTGGTTGGTTCGTGTTGTGGGGTTTTTGTTCAGTATGAAGGAGGTATTTCCCAATATACGGTAGAATCAGATCCATGTATTTTTATTCCTGACAGAATCGGTAATTTCGGTGGGACAATGGCAAAGTTCTGAGCAAACAACACTTAGAAACTACCCCTATTGTAGCTGTCTTTGCTAACTCAGAATAATCAATCTTCCTGTTACTGTGCTCATGAACTTTCATCTTCCACATGAGCGCATGTGACATTTCTCTGTCGTAGCAATAGTTATCAAGGCTAGCAAACAATTACTATAATGCTGTGTTGAGTCTTCTGTTAATTTCAGAGTCAGCGTCTTAGTGCAGCACAGCAGTCTATCTCTGTTATTTGGGGAACAGTGACAAGCCTCCTAGACCTTTGAAGATGGGGAAGAAAGTTTGGAGTGTAACTAGTTTAAAACAAACAAACAAACAACAGAACAAAGCAAAATCCCAAACTAACCAAGGATCAAGAAAAAACCCTCACCAACCAACAAACAAAACGAACCAAAAAACAAAACCCAAACCCTAAATAGAAGCTTTCCCCTGCCCCTAACACAAAACCAACACAAAACCCCCTGTGAGAGTTACACGATTTTAGATTTATGTGGTTTTATGCTAGTTCTGATATCAGTCCATTCTAATAATAGAAATAGGGAAAACAACAGATGTTTTTGGGATTCAAGAAAATCTGTGTTGTAGAAAGAACTGTTCTAACAATCAAAGTGCAGGCTGTTCTGGCAGAAAGTCAGCGGTGGGAATATCAAGGAAGCACATTTGGTTCCAATGTATTAGACCAAGTTTTCCAGACAAGTTATTAACTTGAGAACAGCTTCTTTCTCACTCCCGTTATACTCTTATTTGGTCCCTTTACAATATTTGCCTCATGATCCTTAATGTCTGAACAGGAAAATAAAATTTTGGTTATAAGTTGCTCCAAATTCGTAGCAGCTTTATTTATGTAGATTTTACCGTGAATGCATTCACAGTTCTGTCAGTGTTTCATGAGTATCTGTATTTGCCCTGCATCTTTGTAGATCTGACTGTGTATCTGTCTCTGCATGCACATGTGATGAATACTCCCCATGGTTTATACCGGTGAGAAAACGATTTCCCCAGTTTCCTCAGGTCTGACAAAGTGAATACTTGAACGCAGAGAATATGAAATAGAAGGTGTGGGAAAACAAAACAAAACCAACGTCAAACAAAACCAACAACAACAAAACAACACCCTCCACCACCCCCAGTCTCCCCTAAACCCCAGAAACATAAAATGTGTGAGGTCGATATTTCTTTCTTAAAGCCTAGAACATCCTCAGGTGAAGCTTACGAGTAGCACAAAAAATGCTTTTGACTTAGAGTAGCGGGATACATATTCTGAACACAGAATTCACACTTTTTGTACCTGAAAATATGGGTATTTAGGATTAATACGTGCACGCAATATTCCTACAATTCGGTGCCCACGTAAGGGCATTTATAATGTGTCTTCGCAAGACTTCTTTATTCAGCGGTTGCTGCTCTGTGCCCGTGAGAAGCAAAGGAAACGCCCGATCTCTGCAGCTCCCGTGGAGGGACGGGGACAGCCCGCGGCGTTCCGCCTGCCCCTCCCCGCGCCCTCAGCCTAGGGGACACGCCGTGTCCCAACGAGGAACAAACATCGTGTAAACACGTCTTGCCAGGCAGAAAAGCACGGGGAAGCCGCCGGGTTCGCTGGCAGCGGCCAGGCGACCGGGCCGGAGCGCCGGCGGTGACACAGTGTTAACCGACTGGGGGTAATCCTCCGTGTGCTAGTAGCAGGATTTGATTAAAATCGCCGGAATCTCGTTTTGCGGATTTGACCCTGTGAGCCCAATAGACTGGTGGGATGCACCGCCTCGGGCTGGGCTGTACGAGCAGGCTAAGAGATGGGATCCGTGCAGTCTCCTGATCATTAAGAACTTCAGCGGGATGAGTTTTCGGAATTTGAAGAAAATTTTTAGCCAAGCCTCAGAATACTTTAAAGGGCACTGAAAGCAAAACAAACAAAAAAACCCTGAAAAAAATATTGAAATAAAAATTAGTAAGGATCATGGAGCGTATTAGGGAGATCTAATAGGATTTTTAATTATTTTTTTTTTTTGGCAGCGTGTATTTTCCCCTAGTGGTACTTAGTACCAGACCATAAAGATACACTGGAAAAGAGCAGTAGCTCTGAAATATGCTCTACCTGCCTGTGGTCCATTTGGTAATATTTGGTACCACACGGCAATCTATTCATGTGGAAATTAGGACCATCTTCTCCCTTAAATGCCTCTCTAACTCTGGAAAGGCAGAGACAGAATTAGCAGTTCTCCGACTGCCCAGTAAGCTTTCTGTGTATAAATTGCCAGTTGACTCAGATACGAATTATTCTTAACATCCTATCCTTTGTAATAAATACATTACTATGAACATGTGAAGGAGTTAAGAGGGGAAGGTAACGTAAGCCTCACGATTTTTTCGAATAATGGATGAGCTATGCCGACATCTTACCGCCTTCTCAGAAGGATACATGTTTCCCGTTTGCTACTGACAAACATTTCCTGCATTCCCCTTTGGCTGCTCAGGCAAGACCGATGCACTGAGTGCATAAAGAAGTGCATACATACATTGTCTTATCTGTAATATACCTACATGAAGTGTTATTGCTTCACTTGCACTGGACAGAGAAGATAGCTGATACAAAAACGGGTACCCAAAACAAGTTAACCTGGTACAAGAGGGTGAGATCTTTGTAAGGGCTGCTTGCATGCTCAGCTATCAGCCTCCCACCACTCTGCAGGGTGGCCCATCATTTCTGCCTGGCACAGTAACCCAGATGAGGAGAACCTCCCTTTGCCACGCTGACTGTGTCAGGCTGTGCTCAGCCACGATCTCATCTTCTTTATAGCGTCCATTCTGGTGAGCATAGCAGCTTCTTGCTGAGTGCAGGCTTCCTCAGACCCTGCCTCCTTTTTCAAGGTGGGTGAATTGCACTAATAGAGTTTGTCTCGAATGGATCTGTTCAACATTAAACTCAGCCTGCTGCATAGGGAAATGCACTATGCATTCCTGGGGGGAACGGGAGGTAGGAGTCTACATGCTGATCAGCGAAGCTCAGGCACTTGCACACCTTTAACTTCTTCCATCTTGATAAGGCAGGGATGATTATGCAGGTTTTGGGAATCCTTCCTTCCTTCCTTCCTTCCTTCCTTCCTTCCTTCCTTCCTTCCTTCCTTCCTTCCTTCCTTCCTTCCTTCCTTCCTTCCTTCCTTCCTTCCTTCCTTCCTTCCTTCCTTCCCTCCTTCCTTCCCTCCTTCCTTCCCTCCTTCCTTCC